CTTCCTCACGGCGCATTCATGGGCACCTCTGTAGGGCTTTGGTCACTCTCCTCGCAGCCGGCACCTTCTCATCTCCTGCCCTTGTCACTAGTGACTGCCCCTCACCTCCTTACCCCTGCACACTGCCTCTCTCACTTCACCTAGGGAGGTCTTTGACTACGGAAGGATGAAGTGGAGACGGGAGAGGGAGACTACGAGAATAAGAATACGTCACTGACGGGAGCCACTGTCTCAGGTGGACAGCTTTTCACCATTCTAGAACAACCTTGTTCTCAGCCCACGTTTGGCACAATGTTTCACTAATCTCATCTGTCGCAATACTAGTATCTCTCCACTCACCCTCCCCTACTTGAGGTCTACAAATGCTGGCTGAGAAACAGGCTCGTCTCTCACCAGGCAGGGGTAGATGTGAGTCTGGAGCAGAGGAGGAGAGGGTGAGGGTTTATTATTACACACGCTCTTTAATCTTTGGGGGACTCCGGAGGGAGGCTATATCACTCCTATTTTAAGATGAGGAAATGAAGGCCTAGAGATTCTGTTAGCTTAGGGCACTCTAGTTTATTTACTGACTGTCTGGGCACCAACAACAGATGTCTGAAACAAGGATATTCTACACACTAACTCCACCATCTCTCTCTAGCATCCTATACAGGGGAGGAAGCAACTGGCTCTCAAGAAGCTGGTCCCGGGTCCTAACCTAAGCCACTCTGATGCCAAAGTTTACTGTTGTTGCCCCCACCCCCAGTTGCTGCTCTGAGCTTTCTCCTGACCAGCCTACCTTCCTGGTCCCATTTCCCCATCTTCCTCCACCTCCCTTCTGCTACTGGCTGGGTTACTGTCTGGCCCCAGGACTCCTGGCAATTGGATCACATCTGCTGTTGCCATTAGCCAGAGGCTTCTGGCTGCTTTGGCCTCCAGCCCCCTCAGTAATAAAGACGTCCAGGTTGGAGGGGTCTCAAGTCGGTCTGTCTCAGAGCCCAACCCTCGTCTGTCATGATGTCTGGCTTTCTAGTTTCCTCCCAGCCTCAAATCAAAACCATTTGCAGCCCCAGGATGGGCCTGGCCCTGCCGTTCAGAGCAGGGGAAGTTGGGAGAGAGGCTGCGAAACTGCCTTCCGTTCTCATCCAACTCCAGGAGGTTTACCAGTCTGGCAGCTCGGAACCCTGAGCTTTAGGGGCTATGGCTATGTTTATAGGAGCCCCTTTATTTATGAAATAAATGGGATTTCAGCATTGATCTTTTACCCTAGGAGGGAAAAAACAAATCTATTTTCTGGGCAAGGGAACAAGTTGTGAGCCGATCCCCACAATGGGGCAGCTGGCACACTATGATCTTGCTTAGCAGAGTGGGGATGGCAAACACCCAGCTGTGGAGAGCTCCCAGAACCTCTTGGAAACAGCCCAGCAGGGAGGTACTTGTCTGCTTACAATAAAGAACCCAAAAAGCTGGGTACCCCTCTGGAAGTCCAGAGGGAAGGTTTCAGCAGGTTCTTACTGTCTCCATCAGTTTCTGAATCGGAGAGAAGAGGATTAGTGTTATTAGCTAGAGTGGGGAGACCCCGCCCCTCTTCCTCTCCTTCTGAAATGGTCTGCAAGCCCTCCACCATCTGGTTTTCTGAAGTTCCTTTCAAAGCAGAGATGGAGTTTTTGATGTTCCTTGGGCAAGCCAACAGTCAACATTTGTAATATTGGATTGTTTGTTGTTGACATGCTGTTTCTGGTAACCAGGGTAAGAGGAAACAATAGTGGTGGTGGTGGGGGTATGGAATTATTTGTTATGGAAATATCAGTGTAACTGTAGAGACACTGGTAACTGGTACAAACAGATATCTGCATAGGGCCTGAGTCCTCTGCATGGAGTACTTCCAAACACTTTGCTTGTGGGACAGGGTTCCAAAAAGAGCAGACCTAAGCTGTCACAAAGCATCTACTGGGATTTTAATTTGTTTCTGTAAGAAGTGACTGCAAGGCCCTTGGTAGGAGATTGGCCTGTGTATGCCTGCTTTGGCCAGCATGGTTCAGGTGGTAAACATACCCAGGCATGAGAGTCACTCCCACTCAGCTCCTCAGTTGGGCTGTTTGTGGGGAGGTCCCTTTAAATTCATACATCTGGATAATATGGAAACGGTAAATGAGGCTTCCAACCCCAGACTACATATAGCTGCTTTCAGTGATGGAAAAGTTTCTATTGAAACATGGCTCTGCAGAGGCAATCATCCAACTAGTAGTGTCTTAGGGTTTTTATTGCTGTGTAGAGACACCATAACACGGCAACTCTTATAAAAGAAAACATTTAATTGAAGTGGTGGCTTATGGTTTCAGAGGTTTAGTCCATTATCATCATGAAGTGGAGCATGGCAGCGTGCAGGCAGACATGGTGCTGGAGAAGGAGCTGCTGTATGTGGCTATGCAGGCAACAGGAAGTAGACTTTCACACTCAGTGAAGCTTGAGCAAAAGAGACCTCAAAGCCCGCCCCCACAGCAACACACTTCCTCCAACAAGGTCACACTTACTACAAAAAAGTCATACTTCCTAATAGTGTCATTCCCTTACAGGGGCCATTTTTTTTTAATTTCTCTTTTTTCTTCGTTTTTTTCCATATTTTTTATTTAACTTTTTACGCATGTCACTTTCAGTTCCCTCTCCTTCCCCTCCTCCTCCGCCCCAATCCTCCCAACCCCTCACCCCCACTGCATCCCCCCTCTGCTCCCCTCCCCAGGGAGTCCAGGGGATTAGGGATCTTCAGAGTCTGTCACATCATCCTGGGAAGGGCCTAGGTTCTTCTCCATGTGACCAGGCTGAGAGAGCATCCCTCCATGTGGTATGGGTTCCCAGAGTCTCTCTGTATGCCAGGAATAAATACTGCTCTACTCTCTAAGGTCCCACAGATTGTCAAAGCCTCCTCTCTGTCACCAAGGTTCGGTGGGAGGGATGTCTGGATCAGTCCCATGCTGGCCCCTCAGTCATCAGTCTGGGGTCCATGTGTTCCCCTTTTTTAGGTCAGTTGACTCTGTGGGTTTCGCCAGCCCGATCTTGATTCCTTTGGTCAACACTCCTCTTTCCTACTGGGTTCCAGGAGTTCAATTCAGTTCACAGCTGTGGGTGTCTGCCTCTGCCTTCATCAGCCACTGGATGGCATATAAGGTAGTCATTATTCTCATTATCATTGGAGGGCATTTAAGGAAGCCTTAATGCCAGTTGGTGTCATTCTTGTAGATCTGTGAAGATCTCACTAGTGTCTGCAGGTTCCCATCCAACATTTGAGAATGAATGGATCAATGAATAGTTTTGAGAGATTCATGCCTTATAGCAACACAGGCAGGTAGGTGGAACTTTAGAGGATTGGACTCTCCAGAGGAAGCTGGTCACTGGGCTGTGTTCTGAGAGTATGTACTTTGTCCCTGCCCCTAGCCCCTCCACCATTCCCTGGTTATCCTAAGTCCTACATAGTTTTCATCATGTATGATGCTCTGCCTCATCATGGGCACAGAAACATCAGAACCAAGTGACTGTGGACTATGATCCAAAATGACAATTTTTCTCCTGCAAGTTGATTTTCTCAGATTTTTTTCATAGTGACAGAGAGTTGGCTAATATGGGATGAACAGCTTACCCTGAGCCATGTTCTAAGTAGAATTCTTTCAATTTGCACTAAAGCCCAGTGTAGTATGGTCCACTGGCATCTAATTTCATGCTCAACCAAGACTGGGTCAGATGAATTACCAGATGTGGAAAATGTGCCCCTGACCTACCTCTTGGCTAGATGGCCTTGGCTGGACTAAGACTTTATTTCTCTTAATTTTTCCTCTCCCCAGAAAGGCCTTTGAACTCTATTCATTTACTACCATTATCCTGCTGATGCTTTGTCATTTTGTGAAGTAACTCATCGATGTCTAATGCCCACACTTCTTAGAGCCATGTACCAGTCATTGTATTAGAGGTGGCTCCCTAGCAAAGGAGGCTCCATTATCACCCATTTCATTGATGTTGTTGAAGGCTTGGATAACCATGATGCTCTGAGAGATAGCATTGGGACATAAAGTCAGAGAGGACCCCAGAGCCTTGACCCACGGGCTCTTTCACACCAGTGGAATATGCTTAGCATCTTCCTTAATCCCTCCCTCATCTAGGAAATGAGCACAGATTCAGTGTCCAAAGACACTGCCACAGGCAGTGCTCCATTGCTCAAGTCACCCTCTTTCTCTTATTTGTTCACAACCATTTGCAGGACAACAACCAAACTTGTATTATGCTCCTGTTGTTTAGTATCGAGGATCAGGATTCTCTCCTGTTTCTCTGGTCTTCTTATTCAAACAAGACTCCAGTTATCACCGACCTTTCCCAGCTTGCTTGCCTCCAAAGCCTCCATCACTGATTGTCTGCTTGGCCCAGTTCTTCCAACCAGCAGCCATCGAGATGGAAGAAGACGATTACAAAGTAAACCTTTCACACTTCTCCTACTCACCCCAACACTAGCCATGGCCATATTTCCTTCAGTGCTAGAGCATTCTAGAATGCTAACATGACTAGCGATGTTATCCTAGTCTGAACATTCTTTTACTAGGTGAGAAACAACTTGACAAGATAAGCTATTAAACTCACATTTGATGTAAAACACTGACACAGTACAGAAATAATGGGGGTAACTCCCCCTTTGCTAGCCTTCCCCTTGATGTGTCTTCCAGACATAATCATTGGTTAGCAGTTGGTTTGCTATTTCCAGATTCTCTTCACATGTAGACATATGGTGTGCAACTTAACCTTGAGAAGAAACCCACAGGGAACCCAGGCATGGGACACATCATTAGCTGATAATCCATGAATGCCATGGAGTCAGGGTAGTGTCTGCTCATCCCTGAACACAATGGAGTCAAGGTGGTATCTGATTTGTGATGAGCCTGGCTCAGAACTTCTCAGAGTATCTGGAATGTTCTCTGCAGGTTCCCATCCAACATTTGAGAATAAATGGATCAATGAATAGTTTTGAGTCACATGGTAGCTTACTTTAAATTCCTTTATTTTACAAAGTACTTATCTCTCCATACATATAATTTCTTTGAGGCTAATGCCATTTTCTTCTCATTCAAATGTAAGACTTTTACCTTAATGGGATTTAAAAAAGAGTTGCCTTATAGTTCAGCACCATCAAAGAAATGGCAAAGATAGAAAACACATTTGGGAGTGAAAATGATTATATTGTTTCATAAAAATCAGCTTCATTCATCTCAAAATGATTCTAAATTCACAGTTCTTTTTTTCTACTTCCCTAAAATGACAGCATTTAATAGAGAAGAAAGACACATAACCATGCCTTGGTTTACATTTTATTTTGTCTTCCTGCTTAATCTATACCAGAAGCTGTTTTTGGCTTTGTCTCATTTCAGACATCCATTACTCATGCCAGGAACTCCTACTGGCTATGTACCTATAAGTGATGTCTGGATTCCAAGCAGTTCTTTCTTTCTTTTTCCCTAGAGTTCTCATATAATTTCACTAGATGCGTCTGGGTTTTTCTGTTATGACCAGAAAGAAAATGTAAGGTCTCAGACCAAGGCTTTCTATTTCAGTAGGAATTGGAAATCACAAAGGCTGTTTGGGGGTTGGGGTTCCAGTCTAGACTTCCTGGGAGGGAATCTCTTTTGCATTGGGCTTCCTCTGGAACATGGAGTCCCCTGGCTCTGTCCCTCCCACTGCCATTCCAAGTAGGGCTGCCCTGCTCCTTGAGCCAGCTGGGACAAAGCAGCCCTTTGTTGCTCCTGGGGTGATTTACCACTCATGGAGGCCACCAGGCTAGTCCCTACTTTCCTTGCCTTTCAGAAATGTCTTGGATTTGGAGAGAAACACAGTCTCAAGCTCTGTCTGTGACATCCCTTTGTTGCTTAATAATCACAAGGACAGTCTTGTTTCCTTAAGCAGGGAATTGTAAGCACATTTAACTTCCCTTGACTAACTCCAAACCATAATGCTTATCTTTACTACCACTTGATGGCAGGTTTCTACCCAGAGCTAAGGTGCTTGCAGGCAGTTCCAGAAAGATTACAATAGGGGAGAGGTTAAATGAGGGCCTGTAGGTGAAGTCTCCTAAAGACAGCTTGACACCTTTAGAAAAAGAACGAACACGTAAGTCTTTATTTCACTTTTGAAGAACAGGGGCAGTCCGAACACTGCCTTCTGCAAGGTTTGAAGCCTGCTCTGGTAGTGTTAAGTCATACCTATAATTAGTAATGGGGACACTGGCTTTGGAAGCATATCTGGAATGGTGACAGATGGGTATTGGTATTTCCAGCTCATACAGGTCTTATCGTCTCTTAGATGTCAGACGCCAATGTCTGGGTGTAGCCGGTCAGTGGCAAAGAGCAGCTCAGGAATGTTAAGTGGCTTCAGGAGTCTTGTGGACAGCACCATCACCTATGACAGGAGGGACAAGCATAGCACAGTCAGTTTGGGGCTAAGAAAGGTCTCTGGAAGGAGGCACAGGGTGAGCAGCATGAAGGAAACAGACAGGGCACAGGGTCCCTCACCTACAACCTGGGTGCCAAGCGTGGCTCATGCTTTGCTCACCCAGTCCATGTGGCCTCTTTGGACCCACCTGGCTGATGCTCTCTAGGGAACACCAAGAGAGCTCGTTCCAGAACTTGCCTGAGGGCATGGTATGCTTTGTAAAGGCCAGGTGAGGGTCTGCCCAAGCAGGCACTAGCACCCCTCCATAAGGAACTGCCTTTGGGAAACTGGGGAGGTGATTCAGAAGGAATTCCACAGGCCAGCACCACAGTGTGGCATGACTGCGCTGCACCCGGCCGTGCGACATTGGACAGGTGCAGGGAGGACACCTCCCTGTCCTCTTGACTGCCCCCAAAGTTATCCCAGGTGTAATGAAATCAGTGAAGTAATCGACTCCAAATTCAACTAGTTCATTGGTGCAAAACAGAGGCCACATTCCAACTCAAGGCAGAGCAGGGCAGGGTCAGAGCAGGGCAGGTCACGGTCAAGGAAGGGAGTAGAAGAGAAACATTTAGAAGTTTGTTTTTCTTCTGGAAAATAACTTTTTAGTGACCTTGTTGAAGAGTCCCATCTTTTCTCAGAGAATTGCCTTCGAAGCACTTGTTCTTGGAAGAAAGCTATCTCAAGAAATACATGGCTAATGCCAACCGACCCAAGGTATTTTCAGTAGAAAAAAAATAAAGCACTGAAGCCTGAACTTCTCATTCCCCTTGAGATCTATGCAGACAGGGTGTGAAACAGGGGTGTAGATCAGCATGTCCTTGCCACCTGAGCATGTGGGTCCCAGCATGTGTGCTGCACCAAACCAAGCAAGCGTGTGGCAAGAAGGCTGCCAGGCCAGAGCTGCCAGTGGAGGCTGGGGAGCTCAGCTCCGCGCTGGTTGGCTAGATTCCCTATGGATAGCCACTTTACTTGGAACCTCACTCTCCCACCTCATCAGTCCCAGAGAGAAGAGAAGAGCTTGCAGCACTGTAACCAGGGTTATGTAAGCTCCTCTACTGAGAGCCCAGCATGTGCTCAGCTACTGAGATTTAGTGGTGGGTTTGCAGGTCTCCTTCAGAATCATCTGAAAGCACAGAATTTTCTAGAAAAACACCTACAGATTCATATAGTTTTTGGGGAGCCTTACGGGATTTTGCAAACCACTTAAAAATGTATATGTGGGGCCGAGGAGATGGTTCAGCGGGCAATGCTGGGCAAGCATGAGGACCGGTGTGCCACTCCCAGAGTCTGCAGGAGAAAGCTGGGTGTGGTGGTGTGTGTCTGTAATCCTGGGGCTGGGAAAGCAGAGGCAGACAGGTTCTTGGGGGTTCCCTGGCCAGGGGGCCTACTTGCTGAGCTCCAGTATAGTGGAGAGAGCTTGTCTTGATAAATAAGGTAGACAGGTGCTGAGGGATGACAGTTGAGTTTGTCCTATGGTTTCTATATGCCTATACACGCACACATGCACACGCACGCACGCACGCACGCGCGCGCACACACACACACACACACACACACACACGTGCACGCACGTGCGTGGCCTCTGGATGCAGACCCCATGAAGCAGAAGAGACCAGTAGCTGCTAATAAACTCCATTCCCATGACTAGCCAGTCCCTGCCATACTGCCAGCCTCCATGGCCGTCAGCGCCATCTAAAGCTAGTGGATTCCTCTCCAGCTGAGGTTAAGGGCAGGAGTGAGGACGGAGTGTGTCTCCAAAGATGATCAAGTCTTGCTGCCAGGTTTGAAGAACTTGGGGGAGGGGATGGGTACAAATTCAGTTGATGTCAACACTGAGAGCAGCAACTGGAGCCTAAAGAACCTGTCCCGCTCAGGCCCTGCGCTGGGCTCACAGCCATGGCTGGCAGAGTCTGGATTGGTTTTCTCTGAGTGCAACACCAAGATCAGACCTTTCTCATCCAAACAAGCAGGGCATCTGGGGCCTGCTCTGCGTCAGGTGGAGACAAACAATAGGAAACAGAAGCAGTCTGTGAAGGAGGTGAGGGGGCCTGAGAGGAAGGGAGAAAGAAAGCAGGGCTGAGTCCAAGGACTCTTCGCTAGCGCTGCTCTGTGATGGAGCAAGGCTCAGGCGTGTCCAGCTAGAGTGGCCCCCAGCTAAGGCTGCCTACCCTGCAGCAGTTGCTTAATCACACAGTGTCCACTTCCTCACCTGGAGGGAATGGCTAACACTGTCTGCCCCAATGACCCCTGCAGAACACTTCGCGCAATGCAGGCTCCAGGGGGGCTTCTGGTGGTGGCTGCTGTCATTAGCTCCCTCTATGCCTTTCCTCCTTGCAGCTGGCTGAGCCCTTAAGTGATAGGGGGAGGTGAAGTTGCCTGGGTGTGCTCTTTCGGTGTAGACCTGTTACTCATAGGATTCAAACCCGCACTCTCTCCTCACCGCTGCTTGATAAGCCCAGCCCCCAGGCCTCAGAGCCTGCTTCCTGCTGGATTCTCAACGTCTCTCTCCTCCACAGCTCTTTATGGTCAGTCGCACGTGTCAGCTACCCTCAAGTATCTGCAGCTTCACAACCAGCTCTTTGGGGGTGTTCCTTTATCTGGACAGAATCCCCTACTCTTTCTGTGGTCTTTCAGTCTGCTAAGATGTCCCTGCGTCCAGCCTGAGTGTGCCCTGTGGCTTTTTGTCTTATTGCCATTTTCCATTGCTTCTTTAGCACAGTGCCTGGTACAGAGCAGGGCTTACAGCAGTGAGTTCATAAATAACTGAGCAAAAGAACCGCATGGGCAGAGTAGGCACACAGTGAAGGAGGCAAGGGATTCAGCCCTGGACAGTGGGAAGCTTTTCATCTCGGTCAAAAGACTGCCTACATTTAAGCTGTATCAATTCAGTGAGGCCCTACTGTCTGAGGCTGCTGTTTACAACTGGATCAGGTCACATGGCCAGGGTTACAACCTACCATGTTGCTATCCTTAAGCATCTAAAACGTTTTTTCATTTCACATGTATGAGTGCTTTGTCTGCACGTGTGTGCATGCATGCATGTGTGTGCGCGTGCATGCAAGAGAGAGAAGGAGAGAGGGAGGGAGGGAGGGAGGGAGGGAGGGAGGGAGGGAGGAAAGAAGAGAGGGAGAGAGAGAGACAGAGAGGTACACCTGTTGTTCTTGGAGGCCAGAAGAGAGTGTCAGATCCCCTGAGCTGGAGTTATAAATGGTTGTGAGCTGCCATGTGAGTGCTGGGAACTGAATTGGCGTTTTCTGCAACAGCAAGTGCTCTTAACTGGTCATCTTTCTAGCCCATCATCAGCATTTTTACAAACTTGGCATTTTTAGCAATTAGACTGCTTTAGAGTATTTTCTGTTTTTCTTCAAGTTAATTCACGCAAGACTGTGTCTGCATTATTTGGCTAAAACGGTCATTCTGAAAACTTGGCTACAAATGGGAGGAAAAAGAGAGAGAAGGCCTTGAAACTGGTCTATCGGATGAAATGTAAATGCTTTAAATACAGCCAGTATGGAGGTTGATTTGATGTTGGCGAATACCTTCCAGAGAGCTAGCTTTCACAGCAGACCTGAGCAACAGACAAACTCCAGGACGACTCGCTCCTTGCCCACGAAGGGTCCTTGTTCTCTGCTTTTCTGGTCTCTCTCCCCCTACCTGCAGCTTCCCTTCCTCTCCTCTTCAGCTCTCTTTTCTCCTCTTAATTCTTCTTTTGAATGCTGTTGCCTTTTCCTCTCTCAGCTCAGGCCCGGCACCATTCAAATTTGAACAGCGTTTTACCATGACTCCTCAGATCCCGACTGCCCCATCTTCCTCTGTCACCTGCCATGTGTGGCACCCAGAAGTAAGAACTTCTTCACCAGGACACAAGGTGCAGCCTAGGACACCCCACCTGCATTGTAGACTGCCACTGAGCAGAACACCTACTACAAGGACCACCCACTCAGAGAGAGACTCTGCCGACTGTCCACAGGTCTCACAGTCTACCAGAGGAACAGCACTTAGCAGAGACAAAGCACTGGTCTATGAAGAGCCCGAGCCACAGCAGAGCCACAGGCAACTGTGATCCGGCATTAATAAGCATGGCTAATGGTGGAGGGTCTGCCACGGTCTGTCCAAAGATGGAGCTTACTCCCATGCCAGCCAACAATGAGACAGCACGGATGACCTTAGCGTCCCCAGAGCCAAGGTGCCAAGGCCTTCCAGCAGACTTCTGCTTGGCATGCTCTGCACTCGGCTGGGGAGGCCTATCCCTGGGAGGCCTGCTGGCTGGCATTCCTCTTCTCCGGCCACACTGGGATTTGCAGGTGCCAGCACCATCTGTTCTGTTTCTGCTGAATGCAGACGTGGCAGTAAAATCGAGGATTTGGGTTTCCAACAGCAAGAATGGAAAGAGCAGACAGCATTTTTTTCTTTCCCTTTCTTCTAACCCTGATTGTCTCCCTCAAAGTGAGCACACAGCACAGGTGCCCACATGGCCCTTCATCCATCCATCAGCAGCTATGGCTTTACACACAGACATGGGAGTGGAGTTCAACCCTGCTTGTACCCATGCTATACCGTACACATCCACCCACTGGTGCCGGAACATAAAATGGTCAGTGGTTAACCCAGGGCAACAGCTATTCTTTTCAGGAGTCCTGTGACCCATTGGGCCTGCTGTCCACCTGGTCGGGATGTCAGGGCTGGGGGTCAGCTCTCCTTCAGAGCCTGCACCATGATAGTCCAGATCACCCCTGTGTTTCATCCCTTCTGTGTGGGTGTTTTTGTTAATATCACAGGTCTCAGCCTTGCTGTGGTTCCCTGTCAATTTTACAGTGATTTGGAGCAAGCCAGTACCTAGGTTACCCTGAATCCCCAAATGTGTGCAGAATTGTGTATAGCCAGATTTCTGGATTTAGGTTTTGTTTTTAAATGCTTGGGATTCCCACTGAACACTGCGCTTCAGATGTGTGGTAGTTTGTGGAGGCGTGGCGTCCACACCCGTTGGGGAAAGCACTTGACAGCTGGGTAGTTCCCATGCTTGGCCTCTCTTTCTTTTCCTGACCTGGCTGTTTCCTGTGAGGATACCTCCCTGCTAGTATCTTCTCACAATCGCAGGCTTCTGTGGGCCTCGTGGTCACCATTCAGCAGCCATAGAGCTCAGCTGGCAGAGTATCTGGCCACAGGGCCCCATGCCACACAGGGGACAAGGCTGGCACCTGGCACAAGCGCTTGAGGAAAGAACCCTAAGGAGACTCCTGACTTGGTCTTGTGCCTGTTTAGGGTGGGTTGGGAGAGTTTTTCTCCATAGTCAAGCCTGGTTGGAACAGTGAAGACTTTCACTGTGCATATGGGCACTGCTCACACACAGTCAGGTCAGCTGTGCCTCTTACTGCCTCCTGATACACTGCTCCTCTGGAATCTGCTCCTTCAGCAGGGTTCACACACTCCCAACAGCAGTGTGAGCATAGTTGATGCACATACCATTGTAGATGCAGCAAGGCCTGATTTCCAGAGTGCTTGTAAAATTGCGAGACTGAGCTTTCTGTTAGCTAGAGTAGCTAGCTACCCTCCAGGTGAAGGGGAGGGCTGTGGGCCTCAGAGAATGTCACTCCAGCAGCACTGCCTGCTTTCATAAGCTGAGGGACAAAAGGCTCTGGGTAAGTAGTCATTCAGGCCTTTCCCTGTGCTGTGAGAATCCTCTTAGGGCCTGATGACGCCTCGGGGAGTTTTTACACAAAGGACAAGGAGTGGTCAAGCCTCCTCTTTAAGCCTCCAGCACTCTGAGATGCTCTGTCTGCAGACAGTGGGCACAGAACCAGACTGGCAAAGCCATTGCTTACTCTGGCCTTTGCCGGCATACTGTCCCCAGACTTTGAAAGCATCTGCACTCCATCCTTTTAGAGAAGGGATTACAGTGTCTGGTAGGCTGTCCCAATGCACGGTTGTTCTAAGGAATTAGGATGAGGTTCCCATGTTAGGAACAGCAAGAAGGTGCTTACTTATTTAAAAAAATCTCAGCAGACCTCTGCTGGCATAGGTAATAAAAGGAGGCTAGAATGATTAGTTTTCCAGAAATTGCACCAGCTCTGATGATAATGGTGATAACAGCAGAAAGGGTCGCAGACAATGACTGGCCATTCCCAGACCTGAGCCTGTTCCCTGAATATCCAGCTTCCCTCTCCTAGTTGTGGGTAGGGATATAAAGAGATATTGGGTCTTCTTGATTTCACAAGTAGGCTCACCACCACAGACTGTTTCTAACAAATTCAAGATACCTACCCAAACCCAGGCTTGCTGAGCTCCTGCTACATGCTCAAGCCTAGACCAGCCTTTGTCCTCAAGGAGGGTGGCAGAGACTATGCTGGCAAATACGGAGCAGTCAGTCAACAGGCAAGAGCTTTGCTGCATAGCATGGGTTGGGATGCTAGCACAGACTCAGGAAGCATTTGGAGCAACTACAGGATGTCACAGAAGGAGAATGCTGGCTGTGTGGACACAGACAGCGTGTGGAATCAGGAGGAGCCACATCACCACCCAGGTAGTTAGGCCTGAACTAGAATGCTACCATCCCACCCAGCTGTTTTATGTACTGTGCGGACAGTCTTTAGCATTAGCATTAGTTAGTGTCTTGGTGGAGTCTTGAAGCTCTTAGCAGCACTCTTTTCCTGTGACTACCACAGATGCGATGGAATCTCTGGAGTCCCTCAGGGTTCTGGAGGCTCTTTTGGGAAGTTTCAGAATGTTTAGCAGGTGGGGCTAGCTGGAGGACATGGGATTCTGTGGGTTGGAGGATGCTGGGGACTGGAGGTTACAGGATTTTGAGGATTACAGCCTTGCCTTGCTTCTGGACCCATACTTCCTTTACTTACTGGTTGGCACCATTTACTCAGTAAACAACATGGATCCCTTTGCTTGGTGTGAGAATTTAGCCAGTTATGATGGACTTTGCCAAAGTGGTAGGTCCTTAACCATAAGGAAAAAAAAACCCTCTCAGGGAGGTGTGGGTGGGGTTGGTCTGGCAAGGAGGATGACTTTGGGGAAGGATAACATGATAGGTACTAGGATGTGGGGAGAAGGAGCAAGTGGAGAAGAGAGCAAGCCAGAAGAGGCACAATGAAGCCCTTGTCACCCCTCCCATTGCTGCCCCTGGACTCCTGCTCATGTCACCCATGACTCAGTACCTGGGTTCCTGGTTTCAGAGATGCTACAAGGTCTTTGACCATTTTGGCTTCAGAGACTGTGATGCCACCCACCACAAAGAGGATCAAGAGGGGATGGTCACTGGGATGGGGCCGGCTCACCTGCAAAACAGAACAACATCACATCAGACAGCAGCAATAGCTACTGATTTTCTCTGCGGGTGGCACAGAGGAACCTTGGAGAGACAATGGTTTATCAGCAACCAGATGTGCTAATGCTTCATGACCCCGCTGGCTAGGGAAACTCTTAGTACATCCTATATAGAGACTTCATGGAAAGGAGAGTTAAGGGTGCTGGCACCATCAAATCAGAGAAGGGCTGAGGGACACCTTGTTGCTCTGTTCAAGGGCACACTTGTCCTTCTTTGTTCCACAGCACTGCCACGGCTGCCATTATGGCCTCTATGTGTTTCTTTCTTGCATCTACTCTACTAAGGTAGACTGTACCATGCCTGCCTAGATCTCTGTTGACTGTTTGATTTACTGTTTTAAAGCACAGAATCGGTGTTCTATCATTGTCTGCAGGAAGGACTGAGTCAGTTCAGGAGGAGGGGGTAGGGGTTTACAGAGATACAGGTAGACAGATGTATAGGCCACCCTCACGAACATCACAGTCTGGCATGCTCTGTATGAATGCCACATTAACTGCTAGAGAGTCTTTCTTCCTGGTTTTTGCAACTTTACCCTTAAGACAAAATCTTATTATGTACTAGAATGACAAGCACTCTTGGGAGATGTAAAACAACCCACAAACTGATCCAGTGATGAAGACATTAAGAGAATAAGAGAGGGCTCCTGAGGTAGTATGTGTCAGTCAGCTGTTTTCCGGAGGAGTGACCAGGACAAGTGACATGGGCCAAGATCTACAGATGAGTAGTAAGCAGCCATACGGAGCAGGTCAAGACCCAGCCAGGACTAAACAAGCACACATGGCATTGCCCAGGAAGGTGCTGTCAGCCGTCTGAATGGCCACCTAAGACTTCCCCTCCAGCAAGACAGGGCAATAAGAAAGTGACTGTTTCCAACCATGGATGCATAAGCCATCTAAGGGCCTTGGGTTATTCCAAAAAGCAGCAGGCTAGGCTAGTGAGCCATAAGGAGGCCTAGAAGGATGGAGGAGGTGGAAGGAGAGAATAGGTGACAGAGAAAGGGAGAGAAGGAAGGAAGAAGGAAGGAGGAAACACTAAGGGTCTCCACGGTAAGTACTGGTGAATACTAGATAAGTTGCAAAGCTCAGGAGGCCTTCCACTGCTCTCCACTGTGTTTCTTCATTGTTCTCCTGTAATCCACACACGCTTTCAGCAACCTTGCTGCTAGCCCATGATCTCCTGAAATTGCTGGGGTCACTTGCATAAGCCACTAATGGCTATTATAGTGTTAGGAGTCATGGGCACTTTTTGATATTTATCTAACAGGATGTTTTTATGGCAACTGTCAGTTGATAACACCCCACTGTGTTGACTGTGATGACTTTCTGTTGGTTGTTCCTCCACTTTTGTCATTTATTCTCAGAGATCTTCATCAGTTCTTGCTCCTGGTTTGCCCCTTTAAATACAGATACCTCTGCCCATGGCCCCTTGCTCTTCTCACTCAATCCACTGTCCCTGAAGGAACTTCTCATCTGTCCATATTTCCCACACTGAGCTCTCTGGATATCACCTCCTGGACACCCCGAGGCCCCCTGACTCAATGAGCTCCATGTTCCTTTACTTCTGTCCTATTGAAGCACAATTGCCCGAGTCACACACCAGAGTCCTGTTAACCTCCACTGCCTCTTTCATCCTCTACATTGGCGGTTCTCAACCTTCCTAAAGCTGCCATTCTTCAATACAGTTCCTCATGTTGTGACCCCAACCATATAATGATCTTATTGCTACTTCATAACTGTAATTTTGTTGCTGTTATGAATTATAATGTAAATATTTGGCATACAGAAAACAAAGAGGTCATGACCCACAGGCTGAAAACCACTGATCTAGATCAAGTTGTGTCTATTCTCCCCTGGATGTCGCTCCCATTCTTAGTTGCCTGTAGTTCTTTGCCTAGGGTTAGGACCTCATGAGATTTCCCCCTTTTATGTTAGCATATGTATTGGTGCCTGTGGTGGTTTGAACAGTATGGCTCCCATAGACCAGTGGTTTGAAAGCTTGGTCCATAGGAAGAAGCACTATTAGGAAGTGGGAAGAAGTGTGTCACTGTGGGGGCGGGCTTTGAGGTCTCTTTTGTTCAAGCTATGCCCAGTGTGATACAGTCTCCTGCTGTGTGTGAATCAGGATGGAGAGCTCTCAGCTCCTTCTTCAGAACCATGTATGCCTGCACGCTCCTATGTTCTACCATGATGATAGTGGACTAAACCTCTGAAACTGTGAGTCTCCATTAAACATTTTCCTTTATGAGACTTGTTGTGGTCAATGGTGTCCCTCCACAGCAATACAGCATGACAACGACAGTGCCATCCTGCCGAGTCAGGCATGCTGATGAGACTTCATGAGTGTAGCTTCTCTGACATTTCTGACTTCTTGTTCCTTGGCTCTTACAATCTTTCTACCTTGTGCTCTCTGAGTTCTAGGAGGAGGAGTTGTGTTGTAGACACATCAGCTGGGTGGGGCACTGTATGGTCACTTGTTCTCTACATCTTGAGGGGTTGTAGTTTTTTGTAATGGTCTCTGCTTAGCCACGACTCAGAACCACTCTGTGCTCTGTATTGGTTTCTGAGTAACCAGACCCTGAAAAGCCTCCCAGCCCCACAAACAACTGTTGTTTCTCACTTAATCCTGGGACAGAAATACAACTGGCTCTGGAACTCATGGCACAGTATGTTCCTCAAAACATATGCTTTCCATAAGAGTTTGGAATCCGAAGCACATGCTGAGAATCTTGGAAGGGCAGAGTAGAAGATGAAAAGGGGCAAGAAAATGAAACACACAGCAACAACAGAGAGCAATTCCCTGAGGCTAAGGAGCAGAGGGAATGTTGGTCCAGGCACAAATACATGGGTCCAATTACCCCATTGGTGTTTGCTATTTGGTTTCAGTTTAGATTTGTGTGTTGATACCAGACTTTCTCCTCAGAGCGTGTCAGGCCAGCAGGCTGCTAGGAAGTGGAGCCGTTCCCATCCCATCTCACATTCCTCATAAGCAGCCACACACGACTGAGTCCCGTCTGTGTTAGTTCGTGGGGTGACAATCTGAAGATGACAGTTGGACACATCGTCTGTTACTGCACATGTAGGGTGTAATAAAGCAGGTGGAATCTCTGCTCTCTGTCACTTGATGAGCTGCCGAGGGCTGGGATTTGAGGACATCAGCTCTGGTAAGAGAAGATGGCTTCTCTGCCCCCACCACACCCAGTTTTTCAGTGCAGGCTATGGGGCCTCTGCAGTGTGGGTTCTGGGGGTACTCTGGTGTCTGGATTGACTTCCATGACAGCGGTGTCAGGGGAGGACCCTGCCACTTCCAGTGTTGGGCTTTTCAGGAATCTGGGAATCGTGCCGCTGAGTCCTCCCAGCATATTGCTGCTTTCCTCAGTCTCCCTCCGTCTGTGACTCACTTAGCCTCAGAACGGGTGTGATCAAGTTCCCCGTTCTCCATTGGCCATCAGTGTCCTACAGAGGCAGTGAGAGAGACTCGAGCTTTAAAAAGAGACCAGGCCATTAACAGCACTGCCATTGCCACCAAACTCTTCTCTAACACAGTGCTGTTTATTTTTCTAGCCATCCATTCAACAAGTATTTATTGAACAACTGCTATGGGGCCTGGGAGACACTGCTGAAGGTACCAGGCTTAGCAGTACACAGAGCAGAGGAGAGTCCTTGCTGCACACCATACAGCCTGTATATTAATGAGTGTGTAGAGGGAAGGGATACAGGAAAGCAAATTGTCAAGTGCAGACGGTGGAGAGCCCAGGGGAAAGGAAAGGAAGGGGTGGGGGGAGAGAAGGAAGAGATGGAGAGGAGAGAAAAAGAGGAGGAGGGAGGGAGGGAGTGGGGAAGGTGTAGAGGACAGGTAAGCAGTAGAGGGGCCAAGCATTGTTCTGGGCCCTGCCTGGAACCTCTGAATAGGTAAGGAGCCCATTTGCAGAGGCTCAATGACATCGCTCGGGTCTAAGCACTGCACTGGGGTTAAGTCTGTACTCTGGGTCTGCCTTGCTGAGGAGCTGGAGGGAGGCAAGCTGCCTTGTAATCTGCACACTGCCATCTATAAAGGAGTACTTCCAACTAAAGCATCTTTACTCTCATCTCTTAAAACTTCATGCTGTCCTTTAGAACAGCATGGTCCTCATAGGACTCTGCCACATTGTGCAAGGTTGCTGGGCAGCTAGCCTCCTATGGTTGAGAACCCATGCTGTATCTTGGCAGACACAGCCTCCTCTTTCCTCAAACTTCTCCATGCCTTTTCCTTTTTAAACCTTCTATCTTTGCTTTCTGCCCAGGTTCTTCTTCTATGGTTGTCTTGTTCCATTACTTTCAGTGTTCCTGAATCCTCTGCCCTGGACCTTTCTCTTCTCTTGATGTTTTCCTGGTGACCCTATCCTTCCTACATTCCAGAGCCTATGGCTCTGGCTTGTACTGTTGGCCCAGGCTGCTGGGCTACACAGGTATCTCACAATCCCTTAAACTTAAGCCCCCAAAGCAAGTCACCCTTTTCTCCATTTCTGCTGCCCAATCAGGATAACCTCAAACCATTCACCTAGGTACTCAGAACACACAAAAGGCCCTGGACAACTTCTTACTGGTGTGTACAACCAATACCCATCCCATGGAGGCCACAGCTACTCTTCCAGGCCCCCATTTCTTCAGCCCTACCTAAGTTCAGAGCTCCATCTTTTCTGTTTCTTGCTTCACCTAGTCCCAAGTTCACCCTGGTTTCCCCTCTCTCACTGCTGCCAGGGCAAGCCTTATAGAACACATAGGAATTTGTTACATATTCCCAAACATCACTCAATGGTACTGTTCTAATTTGCTGTTTGTTGCTGTGATAAATCACTGAGCAGAACCAAATTGGGGAGGAAACGGTTTATGTGGCTTAGAAGCCCTGATCAGTCATCACTCAAGGAAGTCAGGGCAGGAAGGACCCTCACAAGAAGCACAGTACTTGCCCACA